AAAGGTTATTCACTTTTATAAAACAGGACCTATATATTATATAAATATATATATATATATATAATATAAAAATCAATACCTCAAATTATTCTTTTTTAAACTGCTTCTATGTTCTGCTGATAAATACTATTTCTTTCTATTATCCAGATTTTTTGGATTGTTTTTTTCCGAACACATTTCTTTATAAAAAAATTCATAATTCTCCTCATGTTTTTTTGTTATTCCACCTTTTTTTCTAGCGTTGTGCCCTTCATCAGGAGCATATTGATATGTTCTGTGAGTTGGTCAATTACCTGTGAGTATCAAATTTTCTAACTCTCTCTTCTTGATGTTAAATATAAGTATCCTTTTTCTTTACATTTTCTTTAAAAAGTTGTCGTTTTCACATTTTCCTGATGAAGAACAGATAGTTCATCCTTCTGTAGAATGCAATAGTAAGTTTATTTTCTTTCAGATCCACAAATTAATTGTTTACGGTGAAATAGCGGCTCGGAAAGAAGAATCGGAGAGCCGAGTTCGAACTCCAGTCGGATTCATTACACTTACTTACGTGATAATACCCTTGGAAAAGGTATGAATGATCTTCTCCCCCAGTCATGGATAAATAGCAGGACAGACTGGGTTCTATAGCCTTGGTTGGCAACCGGTCTAGGAGAAGGAAATTTTGAATTCAAAACTGGTCTGGGGAGAGTTTGTCCGTCAGGCTGACTTGCCCAAGAAACACCATTTCTAATACTTGTAGTGCCCTTACGGGATGGGTCGCACACCATCGAACGATCGTTTACAGACAGCAATATTTTTTTTAAATTCCGCAAATATATTCATACACAACATTATAATAAAAAAACGCACTTTATAACGAACCACCTATTTAACAGAGACGAGGGATGTACGTGGCACAAGGCCAGGGTTCACCGTGGGTTCTCCGAGCCCCAATATATCCTCTGGCACCCTTATTGTTTAGAACCCGTATAAAAGGTTCAGGGTTGAAACCTATTCGGACGAAATTTGATAATCTTGGCGAAAAAAGCATTTAAATCTTGTCATCAATCCCTTTTTCAAGGCATTAATTTCGGAAAAAATGTCAACAATTAGCAAAAACCGACTCGCAAATGAACGATGCATGGTTTCAATCTAGAAGACGCCGGAACTCGACAAATGCCAGTGTCTAGTTCCGGCCATTTTATATTAACAATGAAATTCGGGCACGGACGTTTGCAATGATTTGATATATCATTTGATATCTCGTTATATATCATTTATATATCATTATGTATCATATTATATATTAATTGATATATCATTATATATCATTATATATCATTTATATATCATTATGTATCATATCATTATATATCATTTGATATATCATTATATATCATTATATATAATTTATATATCATTATGTATCATATTATTATATATCATTTGAATATATCATTATATATCATTTATATATCATTATCATATCATTATATATCATTTATATATCATTATGTATTATTTTTATATATCATGAGATATATCATTATATATCATTTATATATCATTATCATATCATTATATATCATTTGATATTATATTGTTATTAACAGTCGAATAGATTGGAACAGTGCCATACTATGTGGATAAGTAATAAGTAATAATTTCAAATTAAAAATAAAACCATTAATTCCTTCGAAATATTTATCTATAATTCCGCAAATACATTCATGCACAACATTATGATAAAAAAAAAAACGCACATCGTAACGAAACACCTTTATTTCCTTCGTATTCCATTGGTGAGATGTAAGCTCCACTCGAGCACCTTCATTCCACGAATCACTGCATTGTGGAACTGACACCCCAAGAAGATGCTGTCCCGACCTTTGCCTTTCTTCTTTTGTTCAAGTCTACTTAACTGTTAAGGTTGTCCATCATTCATCTGCCATATTTTTTTTGATCTTAATGTGTAACAGTTATATTCCGTACCTTTGAACACTAATAGGTTTATGTCCCAATCCTCATAAATAGATTGGACAATATTGTCTATATAAAGAACAGGGGGGTAATATGAAATCTAAGTAATCCACTCTTAGTTTGGTTTACTTACTTCACGCCGCTGGCGAGTATTGTATTTTGTTGATGTTTAAAGATTACCATTTCATTCCCAAACTCCGTAACAGTTATTCCTCATTCAGTAACCCTTTTCTAGGTTAAATTTTTTCATATATATCTATTATTGTCCATCATTCATGTTTGTAGGAGGAACATATAAAAAAAAATTTGAGTTCTGATTCTTTTCTTTGAATTCAATTTTTCGAATCTTGATCTAAATTAACTGGAAGATTTAATATGTAAATATTTTAAGTTAGTGAATTAACAGTTCAATAAATTCTTTTTCTTTGTCCTCTTTTTTCTTTAAACAGGAGTATCAGGATAGGAGGTTTATCCATCATTTTTTCTTATAAAGGACAATTTTCGGTTCCTTTCAGGATTGTTTTTTTTTCTTTTTTTCTTTTTATTAGATCTTTTCCCAGCATTATTGCCAATAAAGAATTGACCTTAAAACAGTTCAGTACTGCCTTTTCTTTAAATTATTTATCTGAAGTATTCGTTTTATTCTCTTGGCTTCTGGTTTTTAGCTTTTTGGTTGGGTTAATTTTATTTTACGGCATATACTAAAAATTTAAGGTGAGATTTTCCTAGTAGACATGGACAGAGAGAAAGAATATTTCTAATAAGCTTTTTTCAAAATGAATAGTTTTTTTATAAAAAAAAATATAAGGTTTTTCTATCAACAAACAATTGAGGAAATCGAAATTTTTATTTCGAAAATTTTTTTCCGGTTATATTTTTTTTTGAAAGACATTTCTGGTATTAAAACCTTTTCCACACTTTCAATCGTGTTTTCATCTTCTATTTCGCGTCGCCGAATATCTGGGGAGTGATGGAAATTTAAAACTACCGCACGTTAGACATTATGAAAACGGCAACGTTAAACGTCTGATCAACGTGGGTCGGACGACTGATTCACCGTGCGTCGGACGACCGACGACCGCCCGCCGACTAGTACGCGTAATGAGTCCGATAAAATAAGAACAGGGAAACGTTTTAAATGGATTTTAAAATAAATTTAAATAATGGAAGTTAATATCAGTCAAAGAAGTTTGTTTCATCATATATATATATATTATATATGATCCTATATATGACGAGCAGAAACGAAGCCACGGGTCATTTTTTCTTTTAAAAATGTGTATTCGATCGATTACGACCAGAAGACGGTTGCACTCGAGATAGATGACTATCCGTTTGCTTTTGAAAAACTGACAGCCGTAGATCACTATCCTAGTTTCTTGGTATCGTAGCACAATTCGACTTTTCTCTCGCACTAAACTGCTGATTAGAAACTTCGATATATATATAAATATATATATCAAATATCAATATTTATATGAGATTTTTTTATGAAAATAGGAACATTTTTCGGACTACGCTGGTATTTTTTCCAAAAAAAAGTTAAACTGGTGAATTTTATATAACGTTAAAACAAATTGTTAAAAAAAGATAAAAAAAAAAAAAGCAACGTCGAGCCAAAGAAAAAAGTACCCAGATGGGTGGCCGATTGGAAATACCATGAATAAATCACCGTTCATTTAACCAACATCGAAAAGTCAGTACCAAGATGGGTGATTTGATTATTGGGAATACCATCGTCAGATCACCGTTCATTTAACTTTTTCTTCGAGCCTATTCAGTACCAAGATGGGTGACCGATTTTTAAAAATACCATCGTCAGATCACCGTTCATTTAACAACGTCGAGTCTAGTCAGTATGAAATTAGATGGGAAATTTTTCTGTCAATACTATCGTCAGATCAGTTACAATTTTGTCTTACGTCGAGCGTGGTTAAAGTACCTAGATGGGTGACCGATTGGGAATAAATTCGTCAGATCACCGTTCGTTTAATTGAAATTGAATCGAACCTAGACATTACCTAGATTTTTGGCCGATTGGGAATACTATCGTCTGTAGGGACCGTTCATTTAAGCAACGTAAAGCCTAGTCAGTACCAAGATGGGTGACCGATTGGGAATACCATCTTCAGATTGTTCATTTTCCAACATCGAGCCAATAAATTTACATAAAAGTATTTAGATGGGTGGCCGATTGGGAAATTTTTCGTATGATCACCGTTCATTTAATTTACGTCGTCAACACAGTACCTAGATGGGTGACCGATTGGGAATATATCATCAGATTTGATGTGAGTTTTCAGATTGGGTAAATAAAATAAATCATTGATTGAACCGTATTAGATCGCTTTGATGATAATTAATCGTCTTCGAGCCTAGTCAGTACCTAGATGGGTGACCGATTGGGAATACCAAAATCAGATCAACGTTGATTTAAACTGTTGTGCAGTGACTTTTAAAGTATACCGATTTGAAATTGTTAAAGGGTTTTCGTCAGATCACCAAATTTAAGCAACGTCGAACCTGGTCAGTACCTAGATGGGTGACCGATTGAAAATATACCAGATCTCTGTCAGCAGTGTATAGTTCCGTTAATAGAAAATAAATGTTGAAACACTGGAAACGATCACCGAAGTTAAGCAACGTCGAGCCTGGTCAGTACCTAGATGGGTGACCGCTTGGGAATACCTGGTGCTGTAAGCTTGGATGTGCAATGTAGAATGATATTAATGACATAAATCATGTTGAAACACCGGTTTTCGTACGATCACCGAAATTTAAGCAACGTCGAGCCTGGTCAGTACCTAGATGGGTGACCGCTTGGGAATACCAGGTGCTCAGATGCTTGGATGTGCGTGGTGAGTATGACTTACAGAAAAACATCATGTTTTGAAAACCGGGTTCGTACGATCACCGTCCCATTTAAGCAACGTCGAGCCTAGTCAGTACCTAGATGGGTGACCGCTTGGGAATACCAGAATGTCTGTAATTTTGATGTTTAATCATGTATGACTTTAACGTTTTGTGTATCAGATGGTTTTGAAACACCGGTTCTTGTACGATCACCGAATTCATTTAAGCAACGTCGAGCCTGGTCAGTACCTAGATGGGTGACCGCTTGGGAATATACAGGTGCTGTGTAAACGTTCTTGATGTTAACGTACCTAGTCACCACTTTAAAATCATATCACGTTGAAACACCAGTTTCCGTCACGATCACCGAAGTTAAGCAACGTCGAGCCTGGTCAGTACCTAGATGGGTGACCGCTTGGGAATACCCAGGTGTGTTGATGTGGATGTGTGTGGTCAAGGTTACGACCATATCATGTTGAAAACGTGGTTCACGTACGATCACCGAAGTTAAGCAACGTCGAGCCTGGTCAGTACCTAGATGGGTGACCGCTTGGGAATACCAGGTGCTGTAAGTTTGGATGTGTAGTTATGATATATTTTTTACACTGCCATATCATGTTGAAACACCGGTTCTCGTACGATCACCGAAGTTAAGCAACGTCGAGCCTGGTCAGTACCTAGATGGGTGACCGCTTGGGAATACCAGGTGCTGTAAGCTTGGATGTATGTGGTAAGATTATGCCTAAGCAACAACATATCATGTTGAAACACCGGTTCCCGTACGATCACCGAAAGTTAAGCAACGTCGAGCCTGGTCAGTACCTAGATGGGTGACCGCTTGGGAATACCAGGTGCTGTAAGCTTGGATAAAGATGTAGTATGACTTTACGGCCATATCATGTTGAAACACCGGTTCCTCGTACGATCACCGAAGTTAAGCAACGTCGAGCCTGGTCAGTACCTAGATGGGTGACCGCTTGGGAATACCAGGTGCTGTAACCTTGGATATAAAGATGGTGGTAAATGTTTTACGGGAATATGTTGAAAACGAGCCTGGTTCTAAGATGGTACGATCACCGAAGTTAAGCAACGTCGAGCCTGGTCAGTACCTAGATGGGTGACCGCTTGGGAATACCAGGGCAACTGAGCCTGGATGGATGGGTGTGGTGTGGTTGAATATGACTTACGGAATCATCATGTTGAAACACTGGTTTCGTACGATCACCGAAGTTAAGCAACGTCGAGCCTGGTCAGTACCTAGATGGGTGACCGCTTGGGAATACCAGGTGCTGTAAGCTTGGATCGTTGGTAGTGGTGTTTTACGGCCATATCATGTTGAAACACCGGTTCCCGTACGATCGCCGAAGTTAAGCAACGTCGAGTCTGGTCAGTACCTAGATGGGTGACCGCTTGGGAATACCAGGTACTGGGTGGATGATGACCACTGTTGAAAGATGGGTGATGGAATTTAAGCAACGTCGAATGTAGTCAGTGAGATGGGTGACCGCTTTGGGAATACCAGGTACCCATATCATCATTGTTGAAAGTTGAATGGTTCCCGTACGATCACCGAAGTTTAAGCAACGTCGAGCCTGGTCAGTACCTAGATGGGTGACCGCTTGGGGAATACCAGGTACTGTAAGCTTGGATGTCAGTGGTGATGTGTCATGACTTTAGGTCAATATCATGTTGAAACACCGGTTCCCGTACGATCACCGAAGTTAAGCAACGTCGAGCCTGGTCAGTACCTAGATGGGTGACCGCTTGGGGGAATACCAGGTGCTGTAAATTTGGATGATGCCTGAAATGATGAGATTACTACAGATCAATCATGTTGAAACACCGGTTCTCGTACGATCACCGAAGTTAAGCAACGTCGAGCCTGGTCAGTACCTAGATGGGTGACCGCTTGGGAATACCAGGTGCTGTATAAACTTGGATAAAGATGTAGTATGAATTTTTGATGGGTCATATCACGTTGAAACACCGTTTCTCGTACGATCACCGAAGTTAAGCAACGTCGAGCCTGGTCAGTACCTAGATGGGTGACCGCTTGGGAATACCAGGTGCTGTAACCTTGGATATAAAGTAGGTAATGACTTACGGCCATATCATGTTGAAACACCGGTTCCCGTACGATCACCGAAGTAAGCAACAACGTCGAGCCTGGTCAGTACCTAGATGGGTGACCGCTTGGGAATACCAGGTGCTGTAAGTTGGATGTAAGATGTGGTGTTAATGTAACGGATCATGTTGAAACACCAGTTCCCGTACGATCACCGAAGTTAAGCAACGTCGAGCCTGGTCAGTACCTAGATGGGTGACCGCTTGGGAATACCAGATGCTAATTGGTTGATGATGGTAGTATGACTTACTCCCATAATCACGTTGAAACACCGGTTCCGTACGATCACCGAAGTTAAGCAACGTCGAGCCTGGTCAGTACCTAGATGGGTGACCGCTTGGGAATACCAGGTGCTGTAACGATTGGATGTGGATGTAGTGTATGTTTTAACTTAAATTAAATATCATGTTGAAACACCGGTTCCCGTACGATCGAAGAAGTTAAGCAACGTCGAGCCTGGTCAGTACCTAGATGGGTGACCGCTTGGGAATACCAGGTGCTAAAAAAAGGTTGGATATCTGGTCTGAGTGGTATAGTGGGTATGGATTTACGACCATATCATGTTGAAACACCGGTTCTCGTACGATCACCGAAGTTAAGCAACGTCGAGCCTGGTCAGTACCTAGATGGGTGACCGCTTGGGAATACCAGGTGCTGCTGTAAGCTTGGATGTGCGGTGGTATGACTTTACGGCCAATATCACGTTGAAACACCGGTTCCTCGTACGATCACCGAAGTTAAGCAACGTCGAGCCTGGTCAGTACCCTAGATGGGTGACCGCTTGGGGAATACCAGGTGTGTAAGCTGATAACTGTCATGTGAGGTAATGGGTTTTCGTATGATCCGAAGTTAATCAACGTTGAAACATCGGTACCTAGATGGGTGATCACCGAAACCGTCAGTTAAGCAACGTCGAGCCTGGTCAGTACCTAGATGGGTGACCGCTTGGGAATACCAGGTGCTGTAAGCTTGGGGTGTATGGATGGATGCTTGGGAATAGTTTTAAGGATCATATCATGTTGAAACACCGGTTCCCGTACGATCACCCAAAGTTAAGCAACGTCGAGCCTGGTCAGTACCTAGATGGGTGACCGCTTGGGAATACCAGGTGCTGTAAGCTTGGATGATGGTGAATGTGGTAATGACTTAACGACCATATCACGTTGAAACATTGGTTCTCGTACGATCACCGAAGTTAAGCAACGTCGAACCTAGTCAGTACCTAGATGGGTGAGCGCTTGGGAATAGCAGGTTCTGTAAGCTTGAATGTGCGGTGGTATAAATGGTGAAACACGGCCATATCATGTTGAAAAACCGGTTCTCGTACGATCACCGAAGTTAAGCAACGTCGAGCCTGGTCAGTACCTAGATGGGTGACCGCTTGGGAATACCAGTTCGTCTGAACTTGCAACGTGTTGTCGGTACCTAAGATGGTGACTTGTCGGCCATATCATGTTGAAACACCGGTTTTAAATGATCAAAAGTTAAGCAACGTCGAGCCTGGTCAGTACCTAGATGGGTGACCGCTTTGGGAATACCAGGTGCTGTAAACTTGGATGTGTGGTGGTATGTTTTACTTTTGGCCATATCACGTTGAAACACCGGTTCTCGTACGATCACCGAAGTTAAGCAACGTCGAGCCTGGTCAGTACCTAGATGGGTGACCGCTTGGGAATACCAGGATGCAATGGGTTGAGCTTGGTGATGTGAAGTGGGTATGGATTTACGATTGGTAAAAACAACCATATCACGTTGAAACACCGGTTCGCGTACGATCAACGAAGTTAAGTAACGTCGAGCCTGGTCAGTACTTAGATGGGTGGCCGCTTGGGAATACCAGGTGCTGTAGCCTTGGATGTAAAGATGGTGGTATGGTTTACCGGCCAATATCATCGTTGAAACACCGGTTCCTCGTACGATCACCGAAGTTAAGCAACGTCGAGCCTGGTCAGTACCTAGATGGGTGACCGCTTGGGAATACCAGATGCTGTAAGCTTGGATGATGTGTCGTGTAAGATGGGACTTTTGGATCATATCATGTTGAAACATCGTTTCTCGTACGATCACCGAAGTTAAGCAACGTCGAGCCTGGTCAGTACCTAGATGGGTGACCGCTTGGGAATACCAGGTGCTGTTGGATTGATATATGGGTTTGGATGGTTGACCATATCATGTTGAAACACCGGTTCTCGAACGATCACCGAGGTTTAAGCAACGTCGAGCCGAGTCTGGTCAGTACCTAGATGGGTGACCGCTTGGGAATACCAGGTGCTGCAACGTCGAGCCTGGTCGTGGTAACTTAACGGTCCGTTGAAACATCGGTTCCCGTACGAATGACGAAGTTAAGCAACGTCGAGCCTGGTCAGTACCTAGATGGGTGACCGCTTGGGAATACCAGTAGGTGTTGAAAATGTCGGGTAATCACTTTACGACCATATCACGTTGAAACATCGGTTCTCGTACGATCACCGAAAAGTAACGTAGAGCCTGGTTAGTACCTAGATGGGTGAGCGCTTAGGAATACCAGGTGCTGTAAGCTTGGATGTAATGATTGGTGTAATGTTACGACCATATCACGTTGAAACATCGGTTCTCGAGAGACGATCACCGAAGTTAAGCAACGTCGAGCCTGGTCAGTACCTAGATGGGTGACCGCTTGGGAATACCAAATAAGAACTGTAAGACCTGGTGTTGGTACCTTTGATGATGGATTGGGTTGTAAAAGATGAAACAACGTCCATATCACGTTGAAACATCGGTTCCCGTACGATCACCGAAGTTAAGCAACGTCGAGCCTGGTCAGTACCTAGATGGGTGACCGCTTGGGAATACCAGGTACTGTAAGCTTCTTTTTGGATGTATGCAATGATGGTGGGTACCGCTTGAGAATACCACCATATATCACGTTGAAACATCGGTTTCGATACGATCACCGAAGTTAAGCAACGTCGAGCCTGGTCAGTACCTAGATGGGTGACCGCTTGGGAATACCAGGTGCTGTAAGGTGTGAATGTTGAATGATGGTTGCGATGGTGATATGGCAATGGTTTGTCAGAATAGATACGGTTGAAACAGGTACTGGTTGATCCAAATAAATCAAACGAAGGAAAAGATAAGAAACAACGTCGAGCCTGGTCAGTACCTAGATGGGTGACCGCTTGGGAATACCAGGTGCTGTAAACTTGGAGTTGGATGTATGTATCATGATGACTAAATCACGTTTGATGGTTTCGTACGATCACCAAAGTTGAGCAACGTCGAGAAAGTCAGTACCTAGATGGGTGACCGTAGAATACCAAAAGTTAAGCAACGTCGAGCCTGGTCAGTACCTAGATGGGTGACCGCTTGGGAATACGATCACCGAAGTTAAGCAACGTCGAGAATCTTGTACCTAGATGGGTGACCGCTTGGGAATACCAGGTGCTGTAAGCTTGGATGCGTGTGTGTACCTTTATCATGTTGAAACACCGGTTCTCGTACGATCACCGAAGTTAAGCAACGTCGAGCCTGGTCAGTACCTAGATGGGTGACCGCTTGGGAATACCAGGTGCTGTAACCTTGGATGTGCGATGTGGTATGAATTACTTAAATATCATGTTGAAACACCGGTTCTCGTACGATCACCGAAGTTAAGCAACGTCGAGCCTGGTCAGTACCTAGATGGGTGACCGCTTGGGAATACCAGGATGCTGTAAGCTTGGATGATGTAAAGGTATACCGATTACGGTTGGATGCCTGGCAACTCGACCATATCATGTTGAAACACCGGTTCCTCGTACGATCACCGAAGTTAAGCAACGTCGAGCCTGGTCAGTACCTAGATGGGTGACCGCTTGGGAATACCAGGTGCTGTAAGCTTGGATGTGATGATGGTATGTTTTTACGACCATATCATGTTGAAACACCGGTTCTCGTACGATCACCGAAGTTAAGCAACGTCGAGCCTGGTCAGTACCTAGATGGGTGACCGCTTGGGAATACCAGGTACTGTGTAAACGTGTGACCACTGTGTTATGCAAGGTGAAAAACAATTTCGGTAACGACCATATCACGTTGAAACACGGTGGTAAGTTGATCGTACGATCACCGAAGTTAAGCAACGTCGAGCCTGGTCAGTACCAAGATGGGTGACCGCTTGGGAATACCAGGTGCTGTAAAGCTTGGATGTAAGATGATGGTATGTTTTGGAAATGACCATATCATCATGTTGAAACACCGGTTCTCGTACGATCACCGAAATTTAAGCAACGTCGAGCCTGGTCAGTACCTAGATGGGTGACCGCTTGGGAATAAATACCAGATACAATGTAAGTTTTTAATAAGTTCTTTACGGTAAGGGTCGACCATATCACGTTGAAACATGGTTCTCGTACGATCACCGAAGTTAAGCAACGTCGAGCCTGGTCAGTACCTAGATGGGTGACCGCTTGGGAATACCAGGTACTGTAAGCTTGGTAATAAAGATGTGACGTTGAAAACCTGTTCTGGTAAACGTACCTTATAAGACCATATCACGTTGAAATACCAGGTTCTCGTACGATCACCGTTGGTTTAAGCAACGTCGAGCCTGGTCAGTACCTAGATGGGTGACCGCTTGGGAATACCAGGTACTGTACCTAAGATGGGTGATTGCTTTGATTTACCAGTGGTATACAACGTCGGCCTATCACGTTGAAACATGGTTCTCGTACGATCACCGAAGTTAAGCAACGTCGAGCCTGGTCAGTACCTAGATGGGTGACCGCTTGGGAATACCAAGTGCTGTAACCTTGGATATAAAAATGTTGAAAGGATGGTTATTTGGACCATATCACGTTGAAACATCAGTTCTCGTACGATCACCGAAGTTCGACGTTAAGCAACGTCGAGCCTGGTCAGTACCTAGATGGGTGACCGCTTGGGAATACCAGGTGCTGTAAGCTTGGATGGGAAATTGGATGGATGAGAAGTACGATCATTAGATTAACCATATCGACTGGTTGAAACAGATGGGTTCTCGTACGATCACCGAAGTTAAGCAACGTCGAGTGGTGGTCAGTACCTAGATGGGTGACCGCTTGGGAATACCAGGTACTGCCTGGTCTGTACCTAAGATGGGTGACCGCTTGAGAATACCAGGTAAGGTATGGGTCATGATCTTGTTGAAATGTTGGGTTGGTTCCCGTACGATCACCGAAGTTAAGCAACGTCGAGCCTGGTCAGTACCTAGATGGGTGACCGCTTGGGAATACCAGGTACTGTAAGCTTGGATACGTGTGGTATGGGTAAATTTACGACGACCATATCACGTTGAAACATCGGTTCTCGTACGATCACCGAAGTTAAGCAACGTCGAGCCTGGTCAGTACCTAGATGGGTGACCGCTTGGGAATACCAGGATGCTGCTTGGATGGATGTGCGTGATTGGTCTTTAACGACCATATGTGTTGAAACATCGGTTCTCGTACGATCACCGAAGTTAAGCAACGTCGAGCCTGGTCAGTACCTAGATGGGTGACCGCTTGGGAATACCAGATGCTGTAAGCAATTTGGATTTATTTAAGTTGGGTAGGTGTAATGTATGACTTAACGACCACATCACGTTGAAACATCGGTTTCGTCCGATCACCGAAGTTAAGCAACGTCGAGCCTGGTCAGTACCTAGAAGATGGGTGACCGCTTGGGAATACCAGGTGCTGTAAGCTTTGATGTAAGATGGTAAATGGACTTTACGACCATATCACGTTGAAACACCGGTTCTCGTACGATCACCGAATTTAAGCAACGTCGAGCCTGGTCAGTACCTAGATGGGTGACCGCTTGGGAATACCAGGTGCTGTAAGCTTTGATGATATGTTATAGTATGTGATTTAACGACCTTTATCACGTTGAAACATCGGTTCTCGTACGATCACCGAAGTTAAGCAACGTCGAGCCTGGTCAGTACCTAGATGGGTGACCGCTTGGGAATACCAGGAACTGTAAGCTTGGATGTAATGGTGATGCAACGTTTTTAACGACCAATATCACGTTGAAACACCGGTTCTCGTACGATCACCGAAGTTAAGCAACGTCGAGCCTGGTCAGTACCTAGATGGGTGACCGCTTGGGAATACCAGGTGCTGTAGTTATTGGGATGATGATGCGTGGTAGTATGACTTACGGACCATATCACGTTGAAACATCGGTTCTCGTACGATCACCGAAGTTAAGCAACGTCGAGCCTGGTCAGTACCTAGATGGGTGACCGCTTGGGAATACCAGGATACTGTAAGATTGGATGTAAGATGATGCAAATGCCGTTTACGACCAAATCACGTTGAAACATCGGTTCTCGTACGATCACCGAAGTTAAGCAACGTCGAGCCTGGTCAGTACCTAGATGGGTGACCGCTTGGGAATACCAGATGCTGTAAGCTTGGATATAAAGATGATGGTAGTAGGCTTAACGACCAAATCACGTTGAAACATCGGTGGTTCGTACGATCACCGAAGTTAAGCAACGTCGAGCCTGGTCAGTACCTAGATGGGTGACCGCTTGGGGAATACCAGGTACTGTAAAGGATGGATAATGTCGATGGTGGTATGGCTTTAACGTCAAATCACGTTGAAACATCGGTTCTCGTACGATCACCGAAGTTAAGCAACGTCGAGCCTGGTCAGTACCTAGATGGGTGACCGCTTGGGAATACCAGGCATAGGATGTAAACTTGGATGTAAAGGATATGTATATAAAGGGTTAACGTCACCATCATCACGTTGAAACAAACGGTGGTCGTCGTACGATCACCGAAGTTAAGCAACGTCGAGCCTGGTCAGTACCTAGATGGGTGACCGCTTTGAAAATACTGGGTACTGTAATCATTGAATTACGGAAAAGCAATTGATGGTCAGTACCTAGATGGGTGACCCTTGGGAATGTTGAAACACTGGTTGGGCGTACGATCACGGAACGTTGAAAAACATCGGTTCCCGTACGATCACCAACCTAAGCAACGTCGAGCCTGGTCTTACCTAGATGGGTGAACTGTAACCCATTGGTAAGCATGAGTATGGTTACGACCAAATGGTGAAACACCGGTTCCTCGTACGATCACCGAAGTTAAGCAACGTCGAGCCTGGTCAGTACCTAGATGGGTGACCGCTTTGAAATACCAGGTACTGTAATCTTGGATATAAAGTATGCAATGGCTTAACGACCATATCACGTTGAAACACTGGTTCTCGTACGATCACCGAAGTTAAGCAACGTCGAGCCTGGTCAGTACCTAGATGGGTGACCGCTTGGGAATACCAGGTACTGTAACCTTGGATGTGCGATGATGTAATGGCTTTACGACCAAATCACGTTGAAACATCGGTTCCTCGTACGATCACCGAAGTTAAGCAACGTCGAGCCTGGTCAGTACCTAGATGGGTGACCGCTTGGGAATACCAGGTGCTGCACCGTACGTTTGGATGTGTCAGAATATGTGGACTTAACGACCAAATCACGTTGAAAATATCGGTTCGTACGATCACCGAATTTAAGCAACGTCGAGCCTGGTCAGTACCTAGATGGGTGACCGCTTGGGAATACCAGAAACTGATCGTCTTGGATATACCGATGATAACAAATGGCTTACGACCATATCACGTTGAAACATCGGTTCTCGTACGATCACCGAAGTTAAGCAACGTCGAGCCTGGTCAGTACCTAGATGGGTGACCCGCTTGGAAATACCAGGAACTGTAAATGGATTAATGAATAGGTATGACTTTACGACCATATCACGTTGAAACACTGGTTCTCGTACGATCACCGAAGTTAAGCAACGTCGAGCCTGGTCAGTACCTAGATGGGTGACCGCTTGGGAATACCAGGTGCTGTAACCTTGGATATAAAAGATACGTTGAAAACCAGTTTTCACCGGTCAACGTATCATGATGGGTGAAAATACTGTTTCGTCGTACGATCACCGAAGTTAAGCAACGTCGAGCCTAGTCAGAATACCTAGATGGGTGACCGCTTGGGAATACCAGGTGCTGTAAATACTTGGATATAACCGGATGATGCAAAGGTTAACGACCAAATCATGTTGAAAAACATGGATCACCGAAGTTTCCGTACGATCACCGAAGTTAAGCAACGTCGAGCCTGGTCAGTACCTAGATGGGTGACCGCTTGGGAATACCAGGTACTGTATCTTGGATATAATTTAAGAACGTCGAGCCTATTTACGACCTAGATTGTTGAAACATTGGTTCCGGTACGATCACCGAAGTTAAGCAACGTCGAGCCTGGTCAGTACCTAGATGGGTGACCGCTTGGGAATACCAGTACTGATAGTACCGTGGATGATGGAAGATGATTTAATGGTTAAATTACCACATCATGTTCACGTTGAACAAGATCGGTTCCGTACGATCACCGAAGTTAAGCAACGTCGAGCCTGGTCAGTACCTAGATGGGTGACCGCTTGGGAATACCAGGTACTGTAACCGTTGGATATGTAAAGATGGATGATTGGTAAGGTTTTTACGACCATATCACGTTGAAACACTGGTTCTCGTACGATCACCGAATTAAGCAACGTCGAGCCTGGTCAGTACCTAGATGGGTGACCGCTTGGGAATACCAGGTCTGATCACCTGGGATTTAAAGTTGGGTAACGTCGGCCTGGCTTTACGTCACATCACGTTGAAACATCGGTTCCCGTACGATCACCTTTTTCTTTTTAAGCAACGTCGAGCCTAGTCAGTACCTAGATGGGTGACCGCTTGAGGAATACCAGGTGCTGGTGACTTGGATGTAAAGATGATGTGCTTGTGGGTGACCATATCACGTTGAAACACCGGTTCTCGTACGATCACCGAAGTTAAGCAACGTCGAGCCTGGTCAGTACCTAGATGGGTGACCGCTTGGGAATACCAGGTACTGTAAGCGTTGGATGTCTAATGTAGTATGGCTTACGACCAAATCACGTTGAAACCATTGGTTCTCGTACGATCACCCGATTTAAGCAACGTCGAGCCTAGTCAGTACCTAGATGGGTGACCGCTTGGGAATACCAGGTACTGTATCTTGGATGTAACCTTGGATGAGTATAGAAAACGTTTTACGGTCATCATGTTGAAACATCTGGGGAATCGTACGATCACGGATGTTAAGCAACGTCGAGCCTGGTCAGTACCTAGATGGGTGACCGCTTGGGAATACCAGGTAGATCACTGTCATTTAAGCAACGTGGAGTAAAGTGATGTACCTTAACGACCCCAATCACGTTGAAATAACGGTTCTCGTCCGATCACCGAAGTTAAGCAACGTCGTGCCTGGTCAGTACCTAGATGGGTGACCGCTTGGGAATACAGGTACTGTAACCTTCGATGCCTGGATGTGAACCAAAGGACCATGTCATGGTTGAAACACTGGTTTCGTACGATCACCGGAATTTAAGCAACGTCGAGCCTGGTCAGTACCTAGATGGGTGACCGCTTGGGAATACCATCGTCTGTAAGTTGGGATGTGAGGAAGAATGAAAGCCTGAGTTACCGTACCAAGATGGTTGAAATTGGAAATTCTATCGTCAGATCACCGTGGGAAATCATTTAAGCAACGTCGAGCCTAGTCAGTACCTAGATGGGTGACCGATTTGGGAATACAGAGGTCAGATGACCGTACCAAGATAGATGGGTGACCGAGCCAAAGTAACTAGATGGGTGACATCGATGTTGAAACACTGGTTCCGTACGATCATCGAAGTTTAAGCAACGTCGAGCCTAGTCAGTACCTAGATGGGTGACCGCTTGGGAATACCAGGTACTGTAAATTTGGATGTGCAAATGGTTTAACGGCACGGACGGAAAATCAGAGAGCTGAGGTCAAATTCCAGCTAACCAAAATTAAGCAACGTGAAGCCAGGGCTGTAACTTTCGATCTATCTATCTATCTATCTATCTATCTATCTGATATGTCCCGGAAAGGGATATATTTAAACGAAGTAGCTAAGTGGTTTTGGCTACTATAACCATGTAGAATATGGTAGCAGTAATCGTCTGGTACGCATCGTAGTCGCAGGTAAGAAGTATAAATCAATGGCGTAGTCCAATGGGCGTCGTTATAGACTTAGCTCTCAGACTAAGGCTCTTTGACTCTCCTACACGTCCGTCGGTATTTATGACGGACACTAGCCAATCATATTCAAGTGAGGGGGACACAGGTGTATGCATATTCCATTATATCACTATCTATCTGCATCTTTATATTTTCATATATCTATCTATCTATCTATCTATCTATATATATATATATATATATATATATATATATATGTGTGTGTGTGTGTGTGTGTGTGTGTGTCTATATATATATATATATATACATACAGATAGATCGATACATAAATATGAACAGATATAATGATACTTATGAATATCTAGACAGATACTATTAATAAAATAATATTTGTCACTTACATGATTGATATTATATTCAGCATTCCGACTCCAGAGTTTCGTAGACAAACCATTTTGTAATAGTTCGGGCCACTCATCAGGTTTCAGCAGTTGATTATGGATTTTCACATTCTCCTTATTTTTAAAACTTAATTTATTCAGTACTTATTGGTATTATGTCGATTTTTTTTCACTATGTGTTTATGCCTAATTGTGTATGCGTATTTATTTTTCTCTATTCCCCTAAACAGAGTAGATAATTTCACCTTTCGTTCGATTCACACTCCTCCCTGGTCTTTTGAACAGGAGTAGGGGTTTATCCCTTGTTTCCTTCTAAAGTTTGCTTCAGCTGTATACTCCTAATTTCTGCACCTGAACTCTGAAATTTTAATCACTGACTATTTATTTCATTTTTTTCTCTACTCCATCAATAAGTGTAGATAGGTCCACTTATCACCTGGTTTACATTCCTCCCCGGTTTTTTGAATAAGTGTAGAGTTTTCTCCCTTGTTTCATGTTTAAGATTGGGTTTCCGTTCAAAAAGATCCAAAATCTGCTTCAGCTCTATGCTGCTATCGTTTGTTCTTTCCTATACTAATATATCTCCACACAGTAACACTCTACCATGAGTGGCTCTTGGGCATTGTATTGAGTGAACTTTAGTAAGAAAAGAAAAGAAGAAAAAAGTAGGGCTTTTATCAATAATTATTATCTCCCAAGAATTCTTACAGTATAAAAACATTCTCTTGCTTTAAATGACCCGCAAAAGATTGATAACCCGTCAAAAACAAAGAAAACAAAGACCTAAATTCGGGATCTACTCACTTGAACAATGTTTGGCAAGCTACTCCCTAGTTAATCGAGTAGTGAGGTCGTTATTTCATCCGTGCGCTCTAAATCTGTGACCTTTTATCATACTAGGATGAGATAGGTAAAGATCTATATATATCCGATCACTAAAATGTTAACCTGTTCGTCTACGGTTAACATTGTAGTGATCGAGGAAACGGTGCCTATTATTCTGTAACCCGCACCTTGCTTTGTGCAACAGACTCCCGAGAGGATGCTTCCCCGATCACTACAATCTTAACCTGGTCATGTCTAGGTTTAAACATTATCTTTTCCACCTATCCGTATAAACTGTGCCTCTTACTCTGTAACTTTCTCTCTGCTTTATGGAACGGACTCCCAAGAGGATGCTTTCCCGATCATTACAATCTTAACCTGTACAAATCTAGGGTTAACTGTTATCTTCTCCACATGTCCGCATAAACTGTGCCTATTATTCTGTAACCCTCTCCCTGCTTTTTGGAACTGTCTCCCAAGAGGATGCTTCCCCGATCACTACAATCTTAACCTGTTATGTCTAAGGTTAACCGATATCTTTCCCACCTATCCGCATAAATTGTGCCTATTATTCTGTAACCCTCTACCTGCTTTGTGGAACTGACTCCCAAGAGGATGTTTCCCCGATATATATATATATATATATATATATATATATATATTATGGCAAGGAATAAGCGGAATGTAAAGGACATAATTATGAAAACTAAGAACTAAAACAAACAACCGGTTTCGTCCCAGTACTTCTCAAGTTTGATACACTGGGATTATTTAATCATAAACTTAAAAACAAAAAAAAAATTCAATGAGGGGGAAAGGGAAAAAAAAATACATATGATAGAAAGAACTAGAGCCCAATCACATTCAAGCCCAACAAGCAATCTCTCTGCTTACAGAGAAACGGCCTGCGGGACTTGATGTAAATGGACTCAAGAACCTTCAAATAATATGAAGAGTGTGACTTCGCCAGAATGGAAAAACAGTCAACACTCAAACCAGCAACACATTCCCTGCTAGTTATAGAGTGTTCCTCTATAGATGACCCGGATGTATTCACTAGTTGGCTCTTGTTAGCGGCCGGATTTAAAATTCTGGGGGGTAAATGTTGTTTCATTTCATCCACAAGCGAATTTTATTTAAAACCCAGTAATTTTAAAAGTTACTCCACAATTCGCTTGAGGATGAAATAGAACTAATGTCTTTAATTTAATTACAAAATTAAATTCGGGGCTTTTAGCTTCCATTTTTGAAACATGGTTAGAACTGTGTAGTGGAAAAAAACATATTTTAAATCAATTAATTTCTAATATTAATACTCTGTAAATTTACATTGAGCACTATTTTGTAAAAATAAAAATATCTATAAGAACACCGGGTTATATATCTTACTGTTCTTTCTTTATATATATATATATATATATATATATATACCGTCATCGAAAAAATTCAACTTACGTATGCAATGGAAGCCTGGCTGGGACCATTTGCCGTCCGGGCGGCAGTAGATAATTGTGTTCTTCATGGTGGTTCTAATTCCGTCTTCACAATAGTAAGTCGCCGCAGAACCAAGCGTTGTACTTGTGAACAACGATAATGCATTTTTCAACTGCGGTGGGATGCCACAGTCGACATTTCGTTTGGCTTTCGATTTTCTTTTCCTTGCTAATAGTCTACGCTGTCTTTCTAGCTTCAGACTTCGCTTTTCTCTCGTCAGCTCTCCAAAGTGGGCTAAATGATCTAAGCAAAAATAAATGAATAAAATTAAATAAAAATAAATAAAATACCTTCTATGAAGGAATGACTATGAATATACATACGTGCAAAGAAGAAAGATATGTAATAGTAAAATTAATAATGTGAAGCCTACAAACCCAAAATAACGAAACAAAAACAAACCAGCTTGGGAAATAAGATGACAAAGATAGACTTCGAAATTTCAAAGCGGAGCAATGTTATAGAAAGCCAAATCATAAGAATACACTTCTAGACAGTCAGGAAGATATGACTACACGTACACACACACACACACACACACACACACACACACACACACACACACACACACACACACACACACACACACACACAGATAGATAGATAGATAGATAGATAGATAGATAGATAGATAGATAGATAGATAGATAGATATTAGTGGTTAATAAACACACACACACACACACATATATATATATATATATAATATATATAAATAATACATACATACATACATACATACATACACATAGATATATATATAAATTTCCAAGAGGATAGAATCCAGGTAGAACTCAATGTCCAGGACAGAGTAAGAATATAATAGACAGGCTTAAACACTAATATTCCATGGTTATAATTTATTACATTGGAATGCTAATGACGATCCAATTCATCAGACCGAGAAATTTAAAAAGAAATCGGAAAATATAACTCCGAGAATAAAAAATAAAATTTAGTGAGAGTGTATGTATGAGAGTGGGGGACGAATATGAGCGAGTAAATGAAAGCTCTAGAGAGAGGGTGTAACAGACGAAAGAAGAACAGGGAGGCCTAACAGTGAAGGTGGAGATTAAAATTTAACAGAGAAAAGTTTTAAAGAGATGAGTTAAACGACGGTTTAAATGAGTGAGATACAGATAAATATGAAGTATTTTCCGATACATAATTCATTACCGAATTGCTGACCTAAATTAAACTAAAAACCGACACCGGAAATGGGTTTATACATTTGTGGTGACACTACGCACAATAAAAGACGATATAATCTAAACTTAAAATTTAGAAGATGAGAGTGAGAGATTGTTATGTAGTGGTTTCACAGTGGAGGCTTGTATTTGTACTAAGTCTGTCCTAAAATAGGTTCGACGTACAAAACGTTAAGAACTTGATATAATAGGTAATGACGCAGAGAAAATCTAGTTGTGGTCGCTGATACTTTAGTATTCGACTAACTTGTCGTCCGACATCGACTGACTGACCAACCCCCTGAGCGACTTCTATTACTCCTACTTATTATAGATGGGAGAGTCTATTAACAATAGAATAGGTGTGTTCCACTATAACAGAGAGAGAGAGAGAGAGAGAGAGAGAGGGAGAGAGAGAGAGAGAAAAGAAAAGAAAAAAGGGGGAAGGTGGGGGGTAACTAAAACCGAAGGCCATTTATAAAAGAGCCTCTGTTCAATCAAGAAAATTTGACAAAAGTAATATCAACTACAGGTTACAAATTTACTATAAACATATAAAGATTAACAAATATTTAATCTAGCAAGGCCCTACTATTTCTATGCCCCAAAACACATACGTATATACACATATACATAACAACATTAATAATAAAACGTCTCATCAGGTAGTTAACAATGATAGTAATAAACGATTTTATTTAGAATTGCAATTTATGAAACATCACTTCATTTTCCGTTTTTACCGTACAAGGTAAAACGGATTTTTGTAAAGAAAAAAGAAAGAAAATAAGAAATCAGTAAAAAGAAAAGGAAGACGAAAGAAAAGAAAGGCATAAGAAAGCATAAG